GCGATTTTGTTAGCCATCTCGTTTGCGCAAGCACCGGTCGACAGAGTTGCGCGGGCAGCTATTTTTTCTGAACACCCGTCGAATATATTGCACTTCGGCAACTTTGTCTTCTGGTTCGCTGCAGTGCGTCTCAAAACTCCGATGAATCCGCGACAGATGTGAAACGTCAGGCGAATAAAAGTATTGTCCTAGCAATCGAGTCGTCTTCTTCTCACTTCCACTACGTGGGATCTCAGTTGGGAGTGGTGGCGACTCCGGCTCCGGCTGCGCCTCTCGGTTGTACCTGATCCGGTCTTCTTGATTCTGTCTGGAAACTGCGCAGCAGTGAATGAGGAAAAATGGGGTGCTGTAGACTGCTGTACCAACATTTTTAACTAATCTATGCTTAAATCACCGTCCATGCACCAGGAGCACGCTGTGGAGCACAGGGTAGACATCGTCAGAATCGACGGTCGAACGTTCGTGTTAGAAACTTGAAAGTATGATAAACGAGCACGCGGCAAGAATATGCCTTTTCAACGGAAAGTTTTGGAATTTCGGTGGTGTTTTTTTGTGCCTAAACGGAACTTCCCACACTTGTCGACACACAGCTATGCACAACTTTGGCCCGGAATCGGTTTTTACAAATAAGTAGTTTTGTTTTTGATAATTAGAATGGATTCAGTTGAACCAATCGTGAAAATTGCGTGGCCTCGGTGGGATTCGAACCCACACAATAGGGCAGGCTCCTGCATAGGAAATTCTACCTGTGCAGTCAGCCCACTGTATCCGTAATGGTGGATTCCATAAGTTGCAGTAGGCTGGGTGGGTAAATCGACCCAAGTGTGATTAAATTTAGAGCGTCGGCGTGCCTTCGTAGCTTAATGGTTGAGCGTTGGCTTTACAACGGCCTTCCCTGCTATGTGGGTTCGAATTCCACCGAGGCCACAGATTTTTCACAATTGGATCAACTGAATTAACCAAATCTGCCGAACCCCCCTAATAATCAGAATGAAGCTGGCCGATGTCCTCTTACAATTTTAGCATCCGGAATACATTTGAAGGCGACGAACTGCGCAGAATTTATTGAAGTTACAGCATTTAATCACCTCCTATTCAACTCTTACGCTTAATAAGAGGTAAGTCATCGACATAGAGGGGTGGAAAGTGACAAATAATAGATGAACTGCTGGTCTGTTAGTGCGCCTTGTAAGGGGGAGGGAGCAAGCCAGTTCAGATGAGAGTGAAAACTTCTCAAGCGTGATTAAAGATGCAACGCGCGGGACATCAGTCAGTCGTGCGGGGGAAGGAGAGGACGGAAAAGGCAAAAGGGCTACGTGCGATATTGGTCACGTGACTCTTCTACTTTCAGAGCTCTGGTTTCCTTCTCCCTATTACAGCGGCCTCTGTAACGCCTAGGAGACGTTCAGTCGTCGTCCAACGTGCGAATTTAAAGCTCACATCATTGGGGCATTTTATTCAGGCTCCAAATCCATCAGTAAGCGGTAAAAATCGGTTTCTAATGCGCGCACTGGGCTAACCGATGTATATTTATAAGAAAATGTAGATACGAATGGAGAGATGAAAAAGAAATGACGGCTCAATTTCAAAGGCCTGCCATTAGGAAGAATTGGAAAAATTAAAGGAGACCTCCTGGCAACTGTGGAAAGGCGAGCTTGGTAAAAAAAAGATGCTCCTTTTTGCCAGCACTACCTTGCGAAATGAGGTGTTCGAATCGGGGATTACCGGACGGGCGCTTGTGGACGGCCAGCACCTCCATCCTATCACATTTCAGAGCCAACCTCAAGTGGATTTCTATTTCCAACAGAACGTTAGTCCTCACATGGATATAATATACTTGCTCTAACCATTCACAGCGGATAACACCAATAACTCAGTCAATGTCTGGTTCACAAAACCCACTGTAAGCTATCTTATTATCGACCTTTTCTGACACTGTCACAACCAACTGCTATGTCACTAGAAGTCGTAACCGACAGAACCCCCGTCGGTTTCGACGATGTGCACCACGCGCTCCAACAGCCGCAGCAAACGCTGAAGTAAGCCGCAACAGAC